AAAAATAAAAGCAAAAAATAATAATAACGTATAAATATAAATAATATAATAAAAATATGTACAAAAATAAATAATAATATAATAATATTAAAACCAATAATAACGAATATAATTATTACAAAAAATTGTTATTTATTATTTTGCATTGCAGCAACAAATAACGAAATTATTTGGAAAATAAATTATTTGAATGCAATCTATTTGTCGAATATATTGACGAACAAATAACATTATTTCAAATACAGTGATGGACCAAAATAACAAATAAAATAAAAATTTTATTTGAATAATATTTTATTTCAATAGTGTCTATCCCTGGTGCGTGGATACATGATGTGGCTCGCTTTTGACTTTTCATTCTGGATCATCTATCGTCGGATGCGATGAGGGTGTGACGTTTAAGCGCGCGCGAGAACAGTGAAATATCTCAGAAACCATTGAGGTTATAATAAAAATGTTGTTACAAAAGTTGTTCGATTCGAAGGGTCAGTTTACGCGATTTTAATAGTTTTTGTGTGGCTGTAGCGATGGCAGAGATTTCAAGGTCGAGTTATTTTTTCAAATGGAACAGTATATTTTCTTATGTATAACCTGTTAGCGTTTCCCGAGACAAATTCAACGGCATGTTATTTGTTACCATTTCGAGTGGCAGAGTCATACATTATGGAAATGCAAAACGTAAATCGCTGATTTCATAAAAATCGTAAACGTTCATTCTTGTTAACGAAAACGCTACATGCTTCCCAAAAAGATAATCGCTATGATATGAATACACAGTAATTTCTCCCTATAATGTTCGGAGTTCGGAATTGAAAACGGTAAATCTGAGGACACTAAGTTGTAATTCTTTGAGCCTCGCGGATCGTTTTTATAGTTGTTGACACCTCGTGAGAGATAGATAGATAGATAGATAGATAGATAGATAGAGAGAGAGAGAGAGAGAGAGAGAGAGAGAGAGAGAAAGTGCAAGAGAGAGAGAGAGAGAGCGGGAGAGAAATAACGAAACTCCGAACAGTCGGGGCCAACATGCAAGTGTACATTAATACAAATATGTTCATTGTAGGGCCGACCAGGCTTAGAAGTTTTGGGGGTAAGTTGTTTCTATGGTACTATATTTCAAATAAAAAAGAATCACGTTATACTTTTAATTGTTTTGAAAGCGTGGACCGATTACGCCATGCCGTCAACCATTTTAGTAGCATACGCGACAGCAAATTGTATAGTTTGAGACAAAATGAGCCGTTTATTTTGAAAGTGGCATAAGTCACTTTACCGTAATGAAAAGTGGTGATTTTTTAATGTTTATACGAAATTATTTATACTGAGAAAAATATCACATACAAGCATCCATATATTTAAACGTGTTAAACCGGAAACCCTTAAATATATCGACTTAAAAACAAAGTGACTTATGCCACTTTCAAAATAAACGGCTCAAATAGTAGTCGCATATCAGTAAAGTAAATATTTCGTAGTTACTATTTTTTTGTCTAATTCAATTATATAACGTCAATATTATTCTGTTCTTATAAATTAAATAACATCTAAGAACATGTTGTAATAGCATTCATTGGAATACTTGAATATATAAACAAAATATTTTCATAGATTGCCACACATGCTACTTGGGACTACTTGTCCCCGCGACTTAGACATAACTTACCTCATCTAAAATGTACAAATAGTTCCTGTTGCGTTGCGATGCATATTCTAAATCACAGCTCAGGGAATACCAAATGTATAAAGAAAGTAAATTCTCTATCATATATTCGTCCGTAACAATATTAGATTATTATTTCCAATTTACTACATTAATGTTTGTGCCAAAGATAGTCTATTTTTTCCTTCAAAAATATATAGAGTGACTCGCATTAATATTCAGACACGATATTATTAGAAAAATTATTGCTCCTTTTTATTGTTTATGATAGTATTACTGAATCAATTGTTTTCTCATATATTAAAGCATTTCTTATAGTAAGTAGAAACATAAATTTTGTTTATTTATTGCGCATGTTATTTTGTATAATAAGCGATGAACAAGATCGTGACAAAATTTAACGTCGCAAAAATATTCGGACAGTGAATGAATTACATTAATTTTATATAAAATGAAAATCTTTTTAATCATGTTATCATAATATTAATATTTTGTCGGTTGACCCTTTTGTTTTATTACTTCATGGAATCGCTTGGGCATGTTACAGATGACTTTATTTAAATAATCCGACGAAATCCGTTTCCATTCGTCTAACAAACGTTGTTTTATCTTTATTGTTGTCTTTGTAGGTGTTGTACGAATTTTGCGGTCCAATTGATCCCATAAATTTTCAATTGGATTTAAATCAGGCGATTGAGGAGGAGGATGCAGTACTTTTGGACAATTGTTTAATAAATATTCCTGTACAATTCTGGCCTTGTGTTTAGGATCATTGTCCTGATAAAACTAAAACACTTGTAATTAAATTATTTTTAAAATGTCTAAATACTTCATTTTGTCCATAATACCATCGATAAAAACTAGATCACCTACACCTACAGACGAGATACAACTCCACACTATTACACTTCCACCACCGTATTTCACTGTCGGTCTTAAATTTGAAATGTTTAATTCTGTATTTACTTTACGCCACACCATTTTTTGACTGTCGGATCCGTAAAGATTAAATTTGCTTTCATCCGAAAATATTACATCATTCCACCACCAGTTGTCTTTGTAAAAATATTCTTTGCTTCGTTTACGTAGCTTTCTACGAGGAACTCTTTCGTTGTATTAAGTTTTTAATACCCGTCGCACTGTGTCCGGGTGTATCTTCTTCCCAGATTCTACAATTAACTCCTTCGTTAATTTTGTAGCATTTTGTCCAGAATTTTTCGTTATTTTTCTTATTATCTTGCGTTGGTCGCGAGAGTCTATTAATTTTGGACCACCTTCCCGAGGAATTAAATCAATTCAATCCTCACGAATATATCGACGTATAATATCTGACACACTACTCTTGCTTATATTTAATAATTTGGCTATATCTCTGTATGACTTCCCCTTTTCCTTGTGATAAATAACCAATTGTCGGATTTCAAAAGACGTATTTCTTCCTCTTCATCCCATTTTCATAAGTAAAGCGTCTGATATCACCAATAATTTCTGTGGTACCGAGTTCTCACAACGAATTTTTATTTGTTTATAAAATTTGTTTATAAACAATGTGTGTTAGCGGCGTTGTCAATGTAGTACAGTATATTACTCTGGCATCTAAGATGTGTCCGAATATTTTTGTGATGTTAAATTTTGTCACAATCTTGTTTATCGCTTATTATACACAAGAACATGTGGTATAAATAAACAAAATTTATGTTTCTACTTACTTTAAGAAGTGCTTTATTATATGAGAAATTGATTCAATTGATTCAATAATACTATCATAAACATTAAAAAGGAGCAACAATTTTTCTAATAATATCATGTTCGAATATTAATGTGAGTCACTGTATGTATTTTTGTTAATTCGAAGTCAATGAACAAGCTTTATTAATAAAAATTGTGGTTTATTTCATTGGAGAATGAAATATCTCATTAGAAAGTAAGATTTATTTCTTAGTAACAAAATTTAGCCCAGAGTGTTAACAACTTGCCCCACAACGAGGTAAGAAGTTTCGCTTGAGTTGACAACACAAAAAAACGAGTTTTTATGAAAAACATATTGCGATGTATTAAATTTTTGAGTTGACAAACTTAAAGTAGAATAAATTTAACGATACATTAGTCAGGAACGAAAAAAGTAATTGCATTATTTCTTAGTCGATTTTTATGTTTTCTCAAAATCGGAACTTATAGCCCCGGTCTCCCTTAGAATAAGAAACGATTAACGATTAACTGTTTTATTTCTAATTTTTTACACATGAAATTTTTTTAATATACTGCTTAGATTCTTCCAATTGTGCGCGCAATAAATGTTATGCAATTTTTTTTTAACTGCGACAAAGGAGAAAAAGGGAATGAAGATGAAGAAACAGAAGTAGAAACGGAAGAATTTCAAGAAGAATCGCATTAAAAGATTTTTTATGGGATTGTGAACAATGAATTACGTAGGGCCATCGAGGAAGTGACATCTCACAGTGCAAGATGTATTGTGCTGTGATATATTGTATGCAATCATCATCTTGCATACAATACATACAATTAAATTATTACAATACAATAAATACAATTTAAATTATTTTTCTTGTGCAAGGAAGATTGAATAGGTAAGCAGGTATTCATACAATGGTAAAATTTTATAGCTACTTTGAATATGAATTATTTATAAATTAATTTTTTGTTAACACTTGTATTTGTTATTAGGAAATAGAGGAAAACCATCACCGTTGGCCACGATACTACACGATTCCACGGATGATTCGCCGCAAAACAATTCAATATAGACTATAATCTTTCACAATAAATATTAAATAAATAAATGTAATCGAGATTATATCGTGTTCCATTTTATTTTAATCAGAAATATTTGTCCAATATTTATATATCATGTCTGTCAAAAAAATCAGTTTTAAAGTGTTGAAATTAAACGAAGTTATGTTATAGTATTGGGAGTTGTCTTCCGGGAATTCGGTGTCAAAGGAGCCGCGTCGCATGCCGTATCACACGCTCTACCGACTTCGTCGAAAGGGCCAGATCTGCAGCACAGGTACAATTCCCAGCAACCCAAAATTTGACATTTCTGGGAGAAACTCTGCTGTAATTGTACAGCAAAGCATGATAGATATGTTCAGGAAATAAGTAAACGATCGCGCGGCAGGAGAAATCTAAAGCTATCGAATGACGTATGGGACAAGCAATATTTTATTACAAGCAATTATTAGGCAATATTTAGGCAATTACTATGCGCGAAATTTAAATCGAGATTAAGAGATCGAGCGTAAACTTGTGAGACGACCTATCAATTTTTCAGAAAGAAAAATATTCAATCTCCGGGTCCGAATGGACCGACTCTCCCGTCCAAGCGTCGATCAAGTAGAATCGCGCTGTGTAAGGTAAGTGTAGGTATTACCGCGATTTCTCAATCAAATTTTGAGAGAATTTTGACAGAGAAAATAAGACCTTTTATGCCAATAAATTGACAACATGAGGTATACAGGGTGTTCCACAATTATTTTAACAGCCGAAAATGAGGGGTAGCTGAGGTCATTTGAAGTAACTTTTTCCTTTGCGAAAATGCAATCTGCGACTTTGTTTATGAATTATTAACGAAAAACACTGACCAATGAGAGATAACGGCGCGAAGTTCGAGAGCCCGCAGCACGAGGCTTTGACAGAAGGTCGGGACGGACTCGAGCCGCGTTCGAAATATTGAACAAGTCACGAAGCGTGAACTTTCTGGATTTTTTTTACTACGTAAAAGTGATATTTTTAAGAAAAACGCTGTTCACCTTTACTTTAGAACGTCTGAAGAATATTTACAAATTTTTCGGGCCCGAAATAATATGTAGTTTAACCGCGACAGCCGTTTTAATTTTCTGGTATGCATGACACCTCATGTGTACCATATAAAATTTTTATGTGAAGATGAACGAAGTCCGTAAATGATATTTTAATTTAAATAATTCCGTGTCCGAACAGAATTCAACGAATGATTTGCAAAGCTGATTTAACAATAAATAATCAATATATTATATATCTATTATCCTTTAACTCGAATATTTAGTTTTCTTAAAATATTGGATCTCTGAAAGCACAAATTTTCGTTAAAAAGAAACCATACGTGTGCATATATTACCGCGGTTATTTATCTATTACTGCAAGTGATATACTGCGGACGATCCGATTACTATGTGTCGAATACTATGGATGTTCCGATTAATGCGTTACTCTGGAATGTTATATTTCCGAGATATTTCTGCAACAGAGTTTTTTCCACGAATTTCTTGCAACGCTAACGCTACGTTCCCTTAGTGCAGCATAACCTTATATTCCTCCTTTTCTTTATATCGCTTGTTTTTTTTTGCGTTCTCTTTCTTTTGACTTCTTTCATGGCACTCTCTCTCGTCCCATTTTCATTTAAATTAGAATTAAAGCTACAATTCTTAGGATCAAGATATTCTTACTATAGCATTCTGCAAATTAGGTATAGGTACTCTACGATCGAGCGTGTTCGCGCCGGCTCGTCTAGAACTGCGCTGTATAGGTTTAGATATGCAGTTCGGTAAAGCGCCGCAGTGATGTTCACGCATGGTAAAAAACTATGCGACGAATATTGCGTTAGTAAATAATATTTGAGGATGAGATAAGATGAGACAGTGTACGTCGATTGTTTTATGAAAGTAACGATTACTTTATCTAAACATAACGCTGGAATGAATAGTTTATTATTAATTAGCCAAATATAAATGTCTGTGGAATCAGCGTTCACAGCTGTCGTTACGATTATTTCCGAAGTCTCAACGTTTCCTTAAGCTTCCAAGTATCAGAAATCGATGGATTACTTAAAACTGCGATTGCTGTTACTTGTATGCCATAAATTATCAATATTAAAGATATAAAAAATTATGAGATTAATTTTTAGAAGGTTACACACTATAAAATGTTAGATTTTTATTACTTTTGTATTTTTACCGGCAGCAGCCTATGCGTTGCAAAAGGGATGGCGTCATCGTTCACCTGTAACAGTGAGTTGAATGCGCGTTTAACGCGCCGCGGGTGTTACGTGTCAATGGACAGGAGCCAAATGTTTTGAGCATCGAGAAAACCGTGGGGGCGGAGGAGATCGAGCGACAATCGGACTGGAAATTTTTTGGGGCGAATGGAGTTTCATTATCTAAACACATCGTCGTCGAATATATCGACATGGCGGCGTCGAAAAAAAGGGGAAGGGTGGCGCAGGAACAGAGCGGAGCGGTGCGGAGCGACGGATGGCGTCGGCGACAGGGAGCAGAGCCATGTCGTCGCCGTCGAACGGACGACGTAACGACGGCCGCTCTCCCGTGCAGACGGACGACGGAACGTGGAGTGAGACGAAAAGGGAGAAAGAGACAGCCGGGCGCCGATTCCAGCGACCGGCCGGCGCTAACCTCGACGCCAACCGTGGAGCGTCGCCGACACCGTCGCCGCCACTGGCGACCGACGACACGGCGAAGACGACGACGCCGACGACGCCGACGACGACGCCGACGACGCCGACGACGGCCACGACGTCGGACCAATGCAAGAATACTTCTTCTGTTGGCATCGTGGCACCGTCACGGCGGGGGTGGGACATTGCTCATCGGTCGCCAAGCCGGAGGGCGCCCCGCCCTAGCCTTACCCATCCTCCGTGCACCAACACACGTTCAGTTGCGCTTTGGTACTGTCAGCTGAAATTCCCGATCCGGGATACATCGATGGCGTCGTGTTTTGTCCTGGAATAATTATTAATTCGGGCTAGTTGCAACTCGGTGGTGCCGCTGTGGCTTGCCCCGCGGTCTTTGCTTCCAAAACCGATACATTTTCAATCGGTCCTTTGATGAGAAATCTCTCTGCGTGTGGGTAAACACCACTCGGTTTTCATGGTAAGCTGCTTTTATGGTAGGAAATCAAAATTTAGAGTGGACACGTTTCGCCTGTTATTTAAACTGTGCTCCGTAGAACAAGCGCTGCTGTAACTAAATTAATTGTAATGATCTCATGGAAGGAAAGGGACGTTTATATTTATATCGTGTGTCCACGTTTATTCGAAAGTTGAAATATCGACGACAAGGGAATAAATTAATATTTAATAGGTTAGTACTAGATATCTATGTGTCACATAATATATGACACAACATATAATATTATATTATATATTACAATAATATTAATTAATTATTCACTAATTGATTAATTGATTGATTAATACCATTATAATATATAATATAATATTATAATTATGTATAATTATTATATAAATAATATATATTAATTATAAATTATATATATATAAATAACTCATACGAATAACACTTCTTTGAATAGTCACAGTCAAAATCGTGCAACGCATTTGAAAACATGTTTTGAAGCAGTTGGTCATTGAATGCGGGCCAAAATTTTGGATTTGGCATCGTGGACCTAATTATCTTCTATCAATTGTTCTATTTACCTACCGGAAGCCAGACACCTTTTTCTAGGCGAATTTGGAAAGTGACGTTATGGACCAAGAATTAATAACTAGATATCATTATTATTTATTATTATCATTATTATTACTTATATTATTATTATTATTATTATTACTTATTATTATTTCTTATTATTATTATTATTATTTTATAGATTAATAACTAATTATTAATAACTAGAATTTGTTGGTATAAAGTACTGAACTGTTTATGTACAGGGTTATTCAAAAGTACTTTTAGAATGTTGAATGAGAATATCAATGTTTAAATATACGTATGTTCTTGTCACATTCTTGTTTTTCTAACCTACAATGATAGACAATTTTAACATCGTAAATTACGTAAAATTTGTTTAAAAAATTTAATAAAACTGGATCCATTCTCGATAAACCATAGTCGGGCAGACCAAAAACAGCTCATTTGATGACTTGACATAACTTGATCATTTCTTATGGCAGTTCGTTGCGAATTTTGCATAAAGATTTGCATTTGCACGCTCACAAAATTCAATTTACGCAAGTATTTAAAGAAAGCGACAATTTGCAACGTAGAAATTTCGCTGGTCGGTTGTTGGAATATCGTTCAATCGATGCATCATTTTCACACAACATCGTCTTCAGTGACGTAGCTCGTTTCACATTGGGTCAACACGACGATGAGCAAAATTGTTGCATATGGGGAGATGAAAATTCATGAACTATTCAAGAAAAATCACTTCATCCAAAAAAGTTACTATTTGGCGTGGATTTTGGTCGAAAGGCGTAATCGGTCCATTCTTTTTCGAAAACAAGAACGAAGATGCAGTTAAAGCGAATGGTGCACGTTACAGTAAAATGATTATTAATTAATGGAATCGACATCAGCAATGTTTATTTTCAAGAAGACGGAGCTACATAACTTAAGGAATAACATTGGAAATGATGTTGGTGAATGAAACGAACAAATATGCAAAAAATTCCAGTTCTGTTGATTGGCTCGGCCGCCTAGCGCCAGCTGCGCTCTCCAATTGGAGAGCGAGCGCGACCGACGCTCCGTCCTTGCGGCCAATGCCGCGTCGCGCTGACCGTCTGACGCAGCGGCAATGGTCGCGAGGGCGCGGTGTCAGTCGTATGCGACCTCTCACTGGTCTCTGTTTTTTGTTAATAACTTGTAAACGAAGCCGCGGATTGTATTTTCGCTAAGGAAAAAGTTACTTCAAATGACATCAGGACTCACCCCTTTCCAGGTATTGACATAATTATATAAAAGTGATAACAAGGGCAACATATTAACAACAGCAAAACACGCAAGATATTTGAAAATTATTTTAGAAGAATTGTTTTTCATTGCAGATCATATGTTATGCCCTTAAATGACACTCACTTATATGTCTGGAAAGGTTTCATCGGAACATGAGTAAAAAATTAGATCATTCTATTTAGAAAAACAAGTTTGACCATCACCTGTCCTCTACGCCTCCACCTATAAAAAAGTTATTCACATCATATAATGTGCCCTTCGAAATAAAACAACTTTTGTCTGATACTTTTTTCTCTATTGTCAAAAACGAGCGAGTTGTTCAGGTGTCACGCTTCAAATACCCTACCCTGTGTATGCATTCCACTTTGTTAAGAAAGTAATAGAACATTTTAAATGTTGGAAACTTTAATCGTTTATAGATTTTCCGAATTCGATTCGACGGGAGCTAATTTTGTCGAATTTCATTCGCGTTCGTGATCTCGGTAAACACCGTGGATAAATACTGGACGTATGTCGGCTCGTTTCGTTAAAAGTCGAACGCTATTTCGGTCGGGACGTGTGCATTTAAATGTCATCCTTTTGGGCGGCCCGCAGGAGCGGAACGCGGATAATGATACCGATGGGCTGAAATGGGACGAGAAGGATCATTAGCGTATCTAATTCCGTAACAGCGGTATGCAACATTATAAATTATCCAACGAGCTTTAATCGTTCGAAATACGAGCGATCTTTAATATTATTTGCTTTCTTGTTGTCGAAACACGGACCAACATCTGTTAGTACCAGAACACCGAATATCACAATCCATTTATCATATTTCCACCGTGCACTGCACTAGGGCAAGTGTGGTTATTACCGTGGACGCCACAAATACTTGCGGTATTTTACAAAAGTAATAAAATCTAACATTTTATAGTGTGTAATTTTCTAAAAATGAATCTCATAATTTGTTATACGTTCAATATTGATAATTTATGACATGCAAGTAACAGCAATCGCAGTTTCAATTCATTTATCGACTTTTGATGTTTGCAAGCTTATGGAAACGTTCAGTCTTATGAAATACTCGTAACGGCAGCTGTGAACGTAGATTCGAAAGGCATTTATATTTTGGTAATTAATAATAGACTGTTCATTCTAGCGTTATTTTTAAATAAAGTAATCATTACATTGTTAATACGTTGAATGCCACGGGGGTCAACGGCGACCGGCACTTAACTTGGCGGTGACGCCATGAGGGCCACCGGTGACCGGCGCGCCCAAATTGATATATATATATATATATATATATATATATATATATATATATA